ACATTGCCCCCTCCCCACACACACACACACATTGCCCCTCCCCACACACACACACATTGCCTCTCCCCACACACACATTGCCCCCTCCCCACACACACACACACACATTGTCCCTCCCCACACACACACATTGCCCCTCCCCACACACACATTGCCTCCTCCCCCCACACACACACACATTGCCCCTCCCCACACACACACACACATTGCCCCCTCCCCCCACACACACACACACATTGCCCCTCCCCCCACACACACACATTGCCCCTCCCCACACACACATTGCCCCCTCCCCCCACACACACACACATTGCCCCTCCCCCCACACACACACACATTGCCCCTCCCCACACACACACACATTGCCCCCTCCCCCCACACACACACACATTGCCCCTCCCCACACACACATTGCCCCCTCCCCACACACACACACACATTGCCCCCTCCCCCCACACACACACACACATTGCCCCTCCCCACACACACACACATTGCCCCTCCCCACACACACACACACATTGCCCCTCCCCCCACACACACACATTGCCCCCTCCCCACACACACACACACATTGCCCCCTCCCCCCACACACACACACACATTGCCCCTCCCCCCACACACACACATTGCCCCTCCCCACACACACATTGCCCCCTCCCCCCACCCACACACACATTGCCCCTCCCCCCACACACACACACATTGCCCCTCCCCACACACACACACATTGCCCCCTCCCCCCACACACACACACATTGCCCCTCCCCACACACACATTGCCCCCTCCCCACACACACACACACATTGCCCCCTCCCCCCACACACACACACACATTGCCCCTCCCCACACACACACACATTGCCCCTCCCCACACACACATTGCCCCCTCCCCCCACACACATTGCCCCTCCCCCCACACACACACACATTGCCCCTCCCCACACACACACACACATTGCCCCCTCCCCCCACACACACACACACATTGCCCCTCCCCACACACACATTGCCCCCTCCCCACACACACACACACATTGCCCCTCCCCACACACACACACACATTGCCCCTCCCCACACACACACACACATTGCCCCTCCCCCCACACACACACATTGCCCCCTCCCCACACCCCACACATTGCCCCACACCCCCCACACACACACACACTGCCCCCTCCCCCCACACACACACATTGCCCCACACCCCACACACACACACATTGCCCCTCTCCACACACACACACATTGCCCCTCCCCACACACACACACTGCCCCCTCCCCACACACACATTGCCCCTCCCCACACACCTCAGCGTGCACCCCTCGGCCTCGCACAGAGACAAACGATACCCGTGTAGCCTACGCTGCGTTGTGTTGTTCGCGAGTACCTATTAAGGCTAACACGGCGCACGAGCGTGGTCGTGTCGTCGGTAATCACCACCCCGGCCGCCTTTGTCTCTCCAGTGTTAACGTTTAGCGCAAAAGGCACCAGCTACTCATTTAAGGCTGAGTCGACCTACGGGGGGGGGGGGGGTGAGGCGGGGTGGAGAGATCCAGAACCGGTTCAGATCAACGCCACTTTATAATGTAAGCAACCGGCTGGAAATCGAATTGGATACTCCGGGTCCGCAGGAGCGCAGCGCGAGGACCACGAGGCCCACCGCTCCCCCGTGCCACGCACTCCCCACCTCCACCTCCTCCTCGCCTCGCGAGCCGGTGGAGCTGTACGGGGGGCCTTTGTCTTTGTGGCGGCACGTGGAGACCGCGTGCTCGGGGGTCTGGCTGTGAAAAATCTGGGCGAGCGCGCCCTCTGCTGACGATAGCAGCAGCAGAAGCAGCAGCAGAAGCCATGATTAATCCACTGCTGGATGAAGGCATCTCCGAGCCTGTGTGGCACTATCCCATGGTCCCGCGAGGCAACAGCACCGACAACAGCCGCCAGGTGCAACAACAAAGACAAAGATCCCCCGTGGAGCCTGAACAGACTGTTGGGGAAAGTGCTGTTAGCGAGCGCCTATGAAGGTCGGTTACGGCACACGAGGGGGTGGGTGGGCCAGCACCATACACGCACGGCCGCCTTTGTCTCCCCAGTGGAGATGTTTTTACACACACCGCGCCAGGCACTCAGGCACTCATTTGTGGAGTAGTGGTAAGATAACCACTACTCCACAGCACCCCCCCCCCCCCCCCCCACACACGAGATGGTTGCATTTCCAGTATTGCATCTCTCCTTTAATGCTTCCTTGCGCACATTCCAGCGTGTGTTCCATTCTCTTTGTCAAGGAGCGATACACGCCACAGCATGTAAGAAGAGAGCATTGGCTGTTTGCTTGCCGGCTGGGTTCCGAGTTTATGCGATGCCTTGTGTGATTGTTCCTCCGCGCACACAGGAGCTAGACATGTGCATGTGGAGCGCTCTATCAAGCCACTGCTAGAACAGGGTCTCTTTCCCCCACGCATTGAAGCCGGCGAGGGTTGTTTGCCCATACTTCACCACAAGGCCGTAGCCATGGAGTCAATATTGGGGGGGACCAAATCTTCCAGGGGGTCTGGGGGTCCCAACCCACATTTTTTTTTTCAAAACTCATTTCCTGCCTAAAATATTAAAAAATTCACTAACACATGGGATGGACTTTTAATTATTTTTTTACAATAATGTCTAATAGTTTATTGTATTACATTGCTCTGTTTTTACTTGTTTACCATTTATTGTTTCATTGTATGTAATGTTTGAGATGAGGGATTAATAAAGTACAACCATAACCACAATCATATAAACAGAAATCTATGCATTGATTTATACGAAGACAAGTCCAGATATTGTGGCCAAGGTTTAGCAAATTGTTGTTTTTATTTACATAGCATAACAATTATCATTAATTTTTTATTTCTTACAGCAATATATTGGGGGGGGGGGATTTTGAGAACATTTGAATATAAATGATAATTACGGCCTTGCTTCACCACGCTGGTCAGTGCGGGTTGCATTGCAGAAAGCGAGTGCTTGAGAGGGTCGTAGACCACGCGTGGAAGTTACGACAATGGCTTTTAGCTGCACTGCTGCCCTCTACTGGTCATCGCCCGGGGGGGGGTCTGCGTGGCGGCTGGAAGAATAACCCGCGGCACACTGCGCCCTCCGACGACAAGATTCGGTACAGAGCCAAATGCCCCGTTCAACAACGTGCACACAAGGGTCCCTTTCGCTTGCCCAGTTGTGCGCATTTGTTAGAGAGTAAAAAAGATGGGTTGGAAAGTTAATGGCATCATCAATATCGTCATCGTTTTGCCATCGTCTCATCTGCTTCTGAATCGTGGCATCCCCAAACCGGTCCCGCAGTTGGTGGGCAGTGGCTTGCCCCCCCCCCCCCCACCCACCAAGACTCGTGTTTTTATCACAAGGGACATACTTTTTTTTTTACACGTTTGAGCCAAATGAACTCTCCTGCCCCGGTCTCCCTTTGGGTCTCTTCGTACGAAAATTTGCTACCGCACAATGTTTTTTCCTATTCAAGAACATTTTCGGCGATAAATCAGTGTGCTTTTGCACGGCATGGGGAATTAAAAAAGAACGGCACATGTTTGTTTTATTCACTTAAGCGCAGGGACGAGGGCCAAAGATTAATTTCAAATACCGTTGCCAGGCCACATTAACAAACACACACACACAACGCGTCACATTTGCCACTGCCAGACACAATTCAGTAACACAAGCGATTGGTAAAGGTACAGCCCTGAAATTACTCGCTTTACACCAACGCTAGCGGAAGGGCCTCCACTTGATAGAGCGCCACTAGAGGGTAACTGCGAAATGTGGGAGTACCCACACTTTACCCCACGACGCACCCTCACAATCAACAGTAGAATTGACCCGAGCGCATTTTAGAAGTGTTGCCAGGACTAAAATGTTCCCTTCGAGTATTCTAGTACCCCGTGAGACCAGCTCAGATGCTTGGTTCGACAGATCGTTTGCGGGCCGGTTTTAAGTGGCCGGTCTCGTGGGTCATAGCCACTCTGCGGTATTCCGGGTTCCACACCTCCTGATTGAACGGTAATTGGCACTTTAACGAACCGAGACGCGTTTGTGGTCAATGTTTCTTTAGGGTGGAGCGATGGCCCCCTGGTTGGCACATTGTTCTATAAACCCAGTTGACACGAGTTTGATTGCCGGCCAAGGCTTGCACCAGTGGCGAGTTTTATGCGAACGAGCGCGTCCTGATACGGGGCCCCCAATGTCGTTCCAACCTCTTCTCTTCAGAGCCTGGCGCCTGGGCCCAGGGGCAGTTCAAGAGACCCTGCACACCGCAGCGAGCTACGTCACTCACTGCCCCACTGTCCAAACTCGAATTTCATCCTGGGCGTGGGGGATACATCGACCATCGCAAAGCCTTCGGATTCATATTCTTGGTTCTTTCTGTAAAGCAGCGTAGCTGGAGAATAAAAGATAATACATTTAAATAAATAAAAATTGAAAATAACAAGCGGTCTTCATCAAGAAGACCGCTTGTGTTGCGATCGAAACGTCTTGTTTTTTTTGCTTTATTTTCAATTCATTTAATTATCTTTCATTTCTATTTTCTATCTACGTGACTTTACCGAAATAACCAAGAATATTAATTCCTGCAGTCACGAAAAAGTTAAGCCTTCCGATTCCTGCCTCGTGTGCAGGCCAGCACTCAGCACCCAGCACCGAGTAAACGTGACGGGCCACGAACACCCTCTTCACGGCATGCCGTCGCGTCCGCCAGTCATTGTTGCGGAAGGTCAACGTCAGTCAATAACCCCCGCACAGATCCTCGTCACAGGATATGGAGGAGGGGGGGGGGACTTGTACGAATGAGCCACGGGAGATGTATTCTCATTCTACGTGACTTTACCGAAAGAACCAAAGAAGATGAATCACACGGCTGTTGAATCGGCACGTAAGACCTTAATTGGGGGGGGGGGGGGCGCAGACACCAGCGACAACTCACGCAGCGAGGACACAACAACGCGGGTCCCAAGTTTCATATACATCGTTTATTTGTAGGAATTGAAGGTAATACTGTGAAGAACTTAAGCTCAGACCAGCAGAGGTGTTAAGGAGGACTCGTTTTAAGGAGTACAGTGAGTGACCCACTAGAAAAATACAAATAGGAAAACAGTAACCCCATGATTGAACAGGACTAAAAAAAAGGACAGCACTTGAAATTTAGGCTTGTTTATGTTTTTTGGTAAATAAATAATTCAACATAAATAAGCTTGTGTTTTTTTTTAATTAAACACCCGCTGCCACTAATGTACTATAGCATATTGATAATTCTCAAACTCTTCCCAAAAAAGCCAACATGCACCATGCTCTATTATTATTATTCTTACTAGTACACAAAAACAAGCAAGCAGTCACAAGCATCATTTGGCCATTTTCAGAAACAGACCTCACAGTGGGTGCATTTTAAACCAAACTTTCCCGTTCTAAATCGGTAGAATAGTTTTGCATTTAACACATAAATTCCAACCCCAAAAGCTTCATTGTAATGAACATCAAGTATAAAAATCATATATCCAAGGGAAATGATAAAGGTTATGCAATATAAGCTTAGTGTTGTGCTTCATGTACATAAGTTGGATGGACTATTGAGCAAGAAACTATTCAGTGGTACAGCTCTACGGGCAAAACCACTCCAGATTATAGTTGGTAGTCAAGATGAGAACACGTTTACTACTCTGGCATTCGCAGACGTGGTGGCACGTGAATGTTCATGGCGTTGTCACAACCGCAGCACCAAGATAGTTTCACATTTGAGGCCGAATTATACAAATCGGGGGATAAGAAGCCACAACCAATAATTTCATTAAACTTTTATTTTTCTCCCCAGTTAATTTTCACATCAAAATTCAAGTTTATTCAAGGAGATGAAAAAAACCCCACCTCCAACAGCAATAAAAACGATTATGGCCATATTATTGGGGGGGGGGGGGCAAAGACACTGGGAGGGCAATTCATTCCCGACAATTTAATCCACGCGGCGAGGGTGAAGTGCATGGACGACAAACTGGGCACAAAACGCCGCCTCCAACCCCACAAGGGTGGCCACGTTGGGATGTTGGTGCCTCAATTACGAAGAAGCGCAGACCGTTGACACACGGCAACGGGCGGCGCAGGACTATACACGCTCGTTAAGACGCTGATAAAAGCACAAACAAGGACCAGGCGATGCTGTCATTTCAGGCAAGATAAGGTCACAAGGCACAGGTGGACAGGCGCGTATTGGGTAACGATAAACCTTGCACGCGTTAACGCTTCTTACGTCCTGAAACCTTGGATGCAGTACAACTCGTTACCTCGAATGAACTCCCGGCTTCAGCAGCTCAATGTGTCCTGCAATGGACGTCTACAGAAGGTAATCCGTGCAAGATGTTCGCCGGAGCAAGAGAGCGTAACACTGAAACCGAAGCACCATAGTTCCTCAAAGGTCGGCCCCACGTGCGTGCACAAACACCAGGAACAGCTTATCGAAAGAGACCGAATTCTTACCACAGAGGTTGCGTGAAACAGACAAACGTTGCTGTAGTCTAGTGCTCAATTCTCCCGACTTTTGAAATTCGAAATGAAACTCTCAACCTTAAATAAACACGAAAATACTGCGTAGCATAATAAGACAACGGTATGTATTTTTTTTTTACAAATGGCAAAACGGTCATAATAATAATAAGAACGAATCCATTCCGCGAACCCATCAGCGATGGCGAACATCAATACCACAGCCTGCACACTGTAACAGAAGTCTCCCTTTTGAGATGCAAACAAACAAATATGAATATTTTGTTTTACTATTTTTTTTGTTATTTGACCAGGTAAGGGCCCATGGAGCTATGTAGCTCTTTTTCCAAAGCGACCCGACCACAAGTGATAGCTCAAGGAATTGGCTTACATGGAAATTTTTAGCAGCCAATTACTCTGAACGCATGTTTCTAAATGTGGAGGAAAGTCACCGGAAGACCTGGAGAAAAATCCACACGACCACAGGGAGAACATGCAAACTCCAAATATACAGCAGGCGTCAGGGGTTGAGATCGAACCTACGACCTCCCGTATACCAGGCGAGGTAGTTAACATCTCACCGCGGTGGCGCTCATATATAGTCAAAAAGCATGCAATTAAATGTGAACATCCACACACGCATCACCTCCTCCCTTCCATCCTCCACACCCGACCTAACAAGTTATTTTGGTTAACAAACTTGCACCGTTGTGTGGTCTGCACACCGCACTTGTCTTCTTATGTACACCATTTTACACTAACTCACTTTTATACATGTAGCTGCACTTGTTTACAAAAACACTCGCTTTCACCCCGACACAAACGTAGGAGGGCAATTTCAGTTTATCATGTTTCTGTAAGCCCATTAAACCCGACTCCTCTACAACTAAGCCCTTGTGTAACTTGGCAGGTAAAACATTATTATTCCTGCACAATGCAAAATCTGCACAAAAACTAAACAAACTTCTAGAACCACGCTCCCTGCTCATTTAAATCTGCAAGCAGTTTCGTTGATTCGCGTTAATTGGCAAAGTCGGCAAGGTTTACATCGTCATGGTGATAATAATGCCACTTGTTTCAAAAATGCGCAGATATTTACAGAGCGGCTACACCCTACCTACCCAAGTCATCCACGGTATTGTCAAAATGTAGCAGGTGTGCTCTGCTACATTTTTCCTAAAATATAAAGTATCCCTCTAATGCATTGCTGAAAACATTCACCGAAAAACGTTTTTTTTCTTAACTTTGGTTTGTTTTATGAAGGAAAGTAGTTTTTTTTTAAAAGGCGCAATAAGTGACGTTGGTAGCTTACGTTCAACTCGCCTTAAAGTCGGCGACAGCCCGAGACGGACACCGACGGAAAAAAAAATCCCCAACACTGACGAGCGTGCAGCCGTTAGCAGCGAAGCGAGAAATATTTTCTTCAGCTTCGATGAAAAGTAAAAGGCAGTAGTGAACTTATGCCACCAAAATTCAATCCGTCGGTCCTGCCAGCCAACTGCATAACATTGCATTTGTAGGTTTGCCAACGACCTGCATGGCTAGCCATCACCCAGCTGTCTAATGATACGTCATCTACAGCTATTGTATTCAAGTTTACCCCTCGCATAAAAAAAAGAAATATACCGTGTGCGACTTAAAGCTTTCAAGTCAATAAACGGGAAGTGGTGTCATGCTTTAAAGAGAAATGGCAGTCGTGTGCCCCGATGCCACCAAATGGAAGGACAGGTAACTGTTCTGTGTTCTGCAAATCACTTATTGCACCTTTTAAGTGTCAGGGGTGGCACTAGTAAATGTCATAGATTTAGTTATGGGGGGGGGGGGTCCAGGAAAGCTGGTTAGAGTTGGGAATGGGGCAGAAACGGCCATGCTTACACACACACACATCACCGTGATGGCGAAATGTGCGACAGCTGAACAGTTAAATGTATATCAGGGTCTGGACTCCCAATTTGACATCCTAGTACCATCCCCAAGACTGGAGACCTGTACCAGCAGAAGAAGTAATAGTCGTCGACTAAAGAGATGGCTCGATTGTGCTATCCCCAGAGAGAGCCTGAGTGCACGTCCGACGATTGTAGTTACACTTCCGCTAATGGCAGTCAAGAGCGCGTGTGTGCGTGTGTGCGTGTGTGTGTGTGTGCGTGCGTGCGTGCGTGCGCGCACGCATGCACTTGAAAAGGGATTTGCCGTGCACGACGTGGGCTGTCAACTTATTCCAAAATCCTCACGTCGCACGGAGGTGCGCGATCACTCCAAAGTAACTCTCACCAGCGAGCATCGTAGAGAGCGACTCAAAACACTGCACTGTCCCACGCGTGGGCTCGAATGTGTGTCTGCGACGTGCCAATAGCGGTGTTAGCGGCAGTGTGGGATTTGCTCCCGACTCTGCATCCTGAGACAAATCAACAATTAGAAAGGAAAAAAAAAAGTCCTCACCGATCACCAAGCTCGCGTCAAGTAGGGCCGTGCCGACATGCAACCTGCAAGGCGTCGGAGGTCTACGGATCGCATAGACAGGCAGCACGGCAACAGAGCAAGTAGGTTGCTCACGGAGGGCGAGTTATCGCCACGCATGGGTGGGTGTTCTCCGGGCACAATGGTTTGTCTCCCACATGCGCACAAAAAAAAATACTCGAGAAATACAGTCTAACGTCCCTAAGCAGGGTCTCTCTTGAAAATTAATATTGCTTGAAGGACTTGGGCTTTCCTTGGCAAGTCGTCACATTATTCTTATCCACCGCCGGTCACGCATTACATGATTTGAATAAAATTTTAAAGCCTATCGGAGACCCCAAGTTAAAATGTTCACACCATACATCGATAGAGACTTAATTATTATTTTCATGCCTGCCCCACCCCCAAACTGAGGGCAATTATAAATTCATTTAAGTGCTCCGTTTGCAATCACGCCAAGCTCGCAACGTGTACTGGAAACTGACCAATCGAAAGTCCTGCCGTTAACTCTCGCTAGCGCTGTAATTGCACAGGAAGGCCATCTCAAGTGCTGGTTTTCCCCATTCCCAAGCGGGCCACAAATTATTTCTACAGAGACCCGAGTCGCGCTGCTCACAACAATTCCTTTTAAGTGGCTGACCGCACTTCCTCCACCACTTTTGGCAAATGAAAGCGTGAGTATTTCTAACGGAGAGCTTCACAGAAACTTAGGAAAACTGCCAACGGCACCGATTAACGTTAAGTGCGAGACTCCCTGTGCAGGCTTTGATAAACTGGACACGTTACTAACCAGCGAGTCGATCCCCCACACCCCCGGCCCATCAATTGTTTCATCGAATGCGCAGAGTGCAGATTAACCTCCGATTAGCACCGTTGGATATGTACGGTGCGTAAGATGTTTGACGTACATACAAGCTGCACGTGGTGGGGGGGGGGGGGGGGGTGGGGACTGATCAGAAAAAATCTAGAAGGCTATTCGAACTCCATTCTCGACCAGGCACAGCCCTAGCAAGCAACTGCTCCCATCCCCAAAACCGTTTCAAAGCTGCACCCTAGGAAAACGATTTCTGTCACCACCATGAAGTCAAAAGTTGCAGTAACCCTTGTTGTCCGTGGTCATCTTTCAAGATGGCCCACTGCCTGGAGAATAAGAAGGCAACGGCCCATTTCATTGAGCGACTGCAAAACTTAATGAAGAGGTGATATGGTCGGTTATTTGCAAAAAAAGGCACGAATGATTTCGCTTGACGCCGTAAGTGCATTACACTCAATTTAGGGAGAAAAAAAAACACGTAACTAAACCTTACTCTTAACGATGAAAACTAAGAAAATAATCAAACTACCAGCAGAAACGATGCTCTTCTTAGTGTTAGTCACTGCAGACAAAGATGCCCGAATTGCATCCCAACATCTTTTTTAGTAGGCCTGTCCCCAAAACACCCACCATTATAACACACAAAACTACTGTCCAATGTATCTTCTCTGCTGCACATGGGGTACTGCTGGTGTTTATTGCCCTGCCGTAAAAGAAAAGAAAAACAATGGGGCGAGCCTGGGGTAGTGCTCACGATTCATCCCCACGACCCGACCTCCGCTCGTGCCCTCGGGCTTTTACTCGCAGGCGCCAAGCGGAGCTGGGCCGCCACCGCTGCCCCCCTCGGACTCGGAGGTTCTCCGCGCCTCGTGGGCGACCATCCCCTTCTCTGCCTCGCGCGGTTCCTTCACCACCGCCATCTCCTCCTCCTCCTCCTCCTCTTCACCGCTGCCACTGCCACCACGGCACGGCTTCACTCCGTCCGAGTGGCCCGGGCCCGCCACGTCCACCACGACGGTGCCGGGATCGCGTAGGAACAGCACGATGACGGTGATGTTGTCACCGGAGCCGGCGTCACGAGCGGCCGTGACGAGACGTTGCGCCAGGCCGGCGGGCCGGCAGCCTTCGTCCTCCGCTGTGCCGGCATCCCGGCACTTGCGCAGGTGAGCGGCGGCCACGGAAACCGCCTCGTCGGGCCGCACCGTGTCGAAGAAGCCATCGCACGCGAGCAGCAGGTAGTCCTCCGTGCCGTCGAGACGCACCGATGCACTCTCGGCGTCGCCGCAGATGTACGGCTTGTAGTCCGCGTCGCCTGCGCACGAGGTGGAGACGCGCCCACAGGTATAGTTATTTGAAGGTTTGTGTTGCACCGCTGGTATTTTGTACGGTGTCGAACGTCGTTACGCATGCGTTTTTTGCACGTGCCAATTGATAATTTCATTTTGTATACTTGCAGTAATCGATTGAGAAATTCTCTTTCCCCCCCAAATGTATTCATGTTTGTTTCATGTACTTTGTTTTAATATTAGATGCTTAGCGCAGGCCTATTGGCATCTAGCAAAATATATGATGAGGATAATAACCATCCCCCCCCTTTGGTTGATCAACCTTGGATGAAGGCCTCTCCATGCCCTATTGGTCACAGGGGTTGTTTGACCATACTTCACCGAAACAGGTTGTTGAAGGAGGGCCGTGGACCGGTTAACGTTAGCCACACACGACAGATGCAAATTGAAAACGTACGCTAATTACGAGCACAATTCGATGCAGGTATGGTGAGAGCATCCGAATCTATTTTTCCATCGATGCATCATTGCAGACTTATCAGAATTTGTATTTATTTATATATGCGAGTGAAACATTTCTATTTTGTGTCTCCGTGCGGGAGTCGACGCCGAACTGACCGATAGCCCTGGACACAGAGAGGGTGCCATTGACTCGCCAGGCCCCGAACCACACCACGCACCCTCCTAGCGCTTCAATTCGCTTCTTCTCGTCCTGCACACAAACCACACAATGGGGCAAAACCCCCACACGGCGGTGAGACCTGCGACAACGCCGTGCGGAAGAGGTCACCGCGCAACAGGTCACAACCCCGGATCAAACGCAACCGATCCCAGCCACCCCAAGCGAATGGGCGGACTGATCCGCTGGCGGTGTGTCCATCTCACTGTGGGTGCTAACAAAAAAAATTGAATCTACCTGTAGGCGGATACAAAGTCAATGGTTTCATAGCTTCATTATGAGTGTTCATAGTCATCCCCCCCCATCTCTCATTCCAATTCTATCACTTCCATGGTTCCTACCCACTGCAATCAGGGTTCATCGTTCTCGTGAACTCCAGTCTCTCACTATCGTTCTGTTACCTCATTGTCACTCTTTTGTGGTTACTACAACTGTTACCAGGGTCAATGTTCTTGTTGGGGCGAGGCCATACGCCAGGCCATCGTGAATCGATGCAGACCCCCATCTGTCAAAGTGGGATCGACACGCTAACAGACTCGCCCACATAAATGCTCTACTGGGGAGGCGTGTCAAGCTTCTCGCGAGTACTAAATAAACTAAATTAAGTCTTTCCCTCGAAGGGATACAAAGTGCATTGCTTCACATAGTTTTAGCGCACGGGTTCGCCGATTCACGGCACTCTGTTGTTCAGTTGCTTCCTTGTCACGCTTTCACAGCCACTACAAATATTATTCTCAAACTTCATGCCTCTGGTGATGTGGTAATGTCAAAGACTCATGCTACCAAACCGATTCCTCTCGACTCTATGCTCAAACGATATATTGTGAACCCATTTTTCTCCTTCTTCCTTCATTGCTAGAGAGCGGCCTAACCTTGGAACTCCCCTCCCAGCGGCCCTTTTTCACAAGTTCCTATAACCTCGCTCGATTTCACGCTCGTAAACTCTTATCCTTTATCCCATCGTTGACAAGAGCGTTGCAAACAGCTCATGTCCAGATGCTGGGAACATGACAGATGGCAACACCTGGGGAAGACCATCGTCCAGCAGTGGATTGATCATGGCCGATGAGGAGGATATATTATAATGAGTGTTCTTAGTCACTGGCCGCCTTGCGTTACGGGCCAGCGGGCCTGTACCCGCTATCGGTGATGAATATTAAAAAAAGGGTACATGAAGCAAAACGCGGTGATTTTAAGCAGCGTACGCCATGAGCACGTACTTAAGTCATGCACAAGCACGTGTACAGTGCTTGCGTGGCTGGTCCTGGGTAGTCGGGCTGAGGTCCGGAGTAGACAGGATATGGGTGGCAGCAGATGAAGAGGGGGTTGCTGGCTTGAGTGGTAACATTAGCCCTGTTACACTAAACGCCAATATAAATAAGGGCTGTTTAGTTGGCAAAAACAAAGGCTGGCAGCCTTCCATTGCGCGCTGTTAAATGCTGACGGTGCACCAAAAACTGCATCCCAGACGGCAAGTAACTCGTCGATGCAAACTTTCATCCTCAACGGTAGACGTTTTTCCTTTCAGAGCAGGGTTGTACAATATGCATAACGAGCCGTCGTGGTGAATTGGGTTCTAAACAATATATATTTTTTAAACACCTGGGCAATTGATGCATTGTTAGATGCATGGTTACCACCCACTGAGCGGAGGAAGTACATTTATAAACACGCAACTCGTCTAACCTAGGTTATCATAAGTGCGCAACATTCATACATTGTGAGCTCTATTGAACAGTTCTATCTCGCATTTTCTACTGAACCGGTTAAGTGTCTGTAAAGTCTCGAACATCGTGCAACAGCAGCGGATTCCAAGCCTATGGACTCCTGAGTAGGCGAGTGGGCGAGTGGACGGATAGACGAGTTCCAGACGGATGGACCGCTGATCACGAAGCTTCGAATTCCAAATCTCGCTGTCCGAGTGTGCGGAAACGATCAAGGTCAAAAGAGCTGCTGAACGAATATGTCGACGATTAACAATGGAGAATACCCGGCACACACACGTGTCTGGGTTTGTGCGTGTGTGTACCGGCACACACGCATCCATCAGATAGCATGGACAAAATTGGTGTAAACACACGTATACGAATGTGCACAGCTTGTAATCAAATCTTTTGTTTAATTGGCAGCCAGTGAAGGACATCACAAATGGTCGGTGTGATTTGGTCGCATTTCCCTTCTTGCACAATCAGACGTGCAGCCGAGTTCGGAGATGAACCGCTGAAAGAGACTACGCCGTGCCGGCGAGACCGTCTTGCAGAGTGAACGCACAACGCGAAAATTGGCGATGTCGGTTTAGCAGCGTCACCTCTCGCTCGGGCTTGTGCGGAGTCATGATCTCGACGGGGCAGCCGTCCCTGACAAGCAGGGCCTGCGAGTCCCCGAGCCACGCCACGTGTAGCATGTCCCCGCGCACCAGCGCCACCACGCCCGTCGTGCCGCTGCGCAGGTTCTGTGCGCCACGCAACAGAAATGCACGGTTTCATCGCAATCGCACTCTCGGGCATCATTTGGGTTCACGGGACGTGGAATCCCGGAGCGGCAACAACGCTTCGTGTAGGTCAACGACCCACGGAAAGGAATACCACAGAGCTACATCGGAGATTCCTGAAAGTGACCCAATCCATCAGGCTCGAATGCAAATGGACGTTTAACAAGCGTCGGGGCCATCGTTGGTCACACGACGCTGGTGGCGGCGGGTGGCGGTTACCTCTCGGACGGCCTTCTGCACAAAGTTGCGGTCGGTGAGGCTGAAGGCCTCCCGGAGGGCACGAGCCGGGTCCCGCGCCAGCATCTCCTGCTGCAAGAGGTTCACGTGCAGGTGCGTGGCCGCGTACACTGCGGCCTCCACCCCGCCGTGGCCGTCAAACACGGCGAGGTACGTCTGCTGCTGCTGCTGCTCCTCTGCGTCCTGCACGCGCGGTGGGCCAGGGCACGGGCGCAGCGAGTGCAATAACACAGACGTGACGCGACTCATCGACGACATCCCCCCGAGGCTCACAAGACACTCGGTGCATCGCACGTGTGAGAACGGATTGTTTACACAATTCACACGATTGCCCGATTTGAAAATCCCGGCCATACCCCTTGCGCAGCAAGTGACATCTGAACAAGCCATAAGTCAACCGTGCCATTCGTTAGTTTAGCACGGTTGGCTAAGTACGGTGCGAAAGAAGAAGGTCCAACCCGCGCTGACGAGCGTGGGTGAAATACGGTCAATCAAATGGCAATGACCGACAGGGTATGGGGGAGAGGCTTCCAGCAGCAGATTGACAAAGGTGCTATTTTAATAAGAATTGTGATACATGTTGTAAAAAGTACGAGGCCCATCCAAAATTCACAAACCTGCACCGACTATCATGAAAGCGTCATAAAACAACCCCCAAATATGAACAGATAATTTTAGACGTCGGTTAACGGTACATATGAAAACTGTAGTAAAAACAGGACCGACATTTTAACAAAAATCTATTGTTTTAATCGAATCACAACCAATGAATGACGATAACTCATTACATTGCGAGAGAAGGGAGAACCGTTACAAGAATAATACAGTCGAGCAAGCGAGTTCATATTATTAGTGCGAATCATTGCGATAGCCATCGAATATCGATCCAGAGCCGAGCTGCAGTGCACTGACATAAATTTGGATTGCTGAACATGTCAAGTACTTGAGAAATTACCATCGAAGCCTCTTAATAAAGCTAATACCGCGATATCCTTTATGTTTACAAATGTATGTTTATATCTGGGAAACAACCAAATTGGGGGTGTTTACATTGGCATAAAATATTAAAGAAGCCAGTGATTTGCATCTCAAATGCATGATTAGCGCCGGCATGAAGACTGCATTGGCGTGGCTTAATTTATTTTAGCCTATTAAGTAATAAAAAAGGCCATTAATGAGAAACTAAATATTAACCATTGGCAAGCAAGATCGGTAATGCCAGTTTGATAACTTATTGCTCAACCACTTTCAATATTTTTTCGTTCATCGTGTATTCCACACTGATGATTTTTTGCAACATCAAGAGAAAAAAAACCTTAATAGCCAAATTCCCCATTATGTCAGTAACGGTTTTAAGCCAATTGATAAGGCATGTTCAGTCCTTGGCCAATCGACTGGTGGATGAAGGGCTTTCCAATGCTATGTTCAAGAATCAATCCGAATGGCACAAACCACTAGGCAGCTAACGTAGACGATGGAGAAACTCACTTCCAGGCCCAACAGGGCATTCAAGTCGGGCAGCACGACGTGCCGGTCTTCCATCTTGCGCCGGCTGTTCTTGACGGCGTGCAGTGACGTTTGGAAGTGGCGTGGCGATGTGCGCAATGGTGGGAGGTCGTCCAGCCAGGCTTCACACACCTCCCGCACGCAGTTGCACACCACACGCGCGAGCTTGTACGCGTCATACTCTGCAGGGGGAAGAAATTCGCAAGAGGGCGCTTTGTTAACCAGAAAAATAACGAAAGAGAAAACAGACTATTGCGGTAGCACAGTGCAATTATTAGCTTAGACTTTCAAGAACTAGATGGCTGGCCAAGCCGCTGAGCTGGCATTAATGAGATCCTGGATTCAAATCCAGGAAACCGCCTGAGATTAAAATGGGTTTCTCGAGTTTAGCGAGATTATGATCTCAGCCCGGTTCAACCAATGAGTGCACGAAGGAAACAATGTTATATTTAGTTCTAGATTTAATTGGCCAAATCTCTAACTCTGATAATTTAAATATACGAGTTTGTCACGTGGCAAACATTACTCTCTTATATGGCAGAGCAGCTGCAAAATAGCTGCCCCCTGTGTGTACCAGAGGTCACTTAAAAGGGAATCTCTGAGATAGCTTTGCGATATTTTCACTTCCGCGAGCTGTTCTCCGACATGAAAAGGGTTGCAGTTCTCCGTTAGACATCCGATTGATAATTTCTTCTCATTACTTTGTTGCCAATAGCACAATTAGGATCAAAATTGGGGGAAAGAAGTGTGAAAAGCAGTTATCTAATGATTGATGAGCCTTGAAGTTAATTAACGTTCCGACAAAAAGTCCAAGAACAGTATTCAACTATACATTTTATCCAAAAGTACTGTCGACTTTGTTACGCTTACGTTTGCTATGCTTCTTTATACGAACCAAGTTGCGCATTTTTCCGCGGACATTTTCTGCAAAAATGAAATCAGCAATCTTGTGACTCTGCCAACAGTAGGAAGAAATTAATGTGCGTTTTTCACTAATTATAGCCCAATCGGCCACATCCTGAATGCAGAAACGCATCATTACTCAATTTGAGGATCCCCTGTGGACTGCAAGACAGCTTTGCCTTAAATGATAAGAGACCAGGAAAGATGGATGCACTGCAAGCTTACACACACTCTTGGGGAGGCTCTCCACAGGCCTCGCTTACCCACCACACAAGACACAAGGGTCTTTTAGCTGGGGTGAGGAATGTTGCAATTTGCTCCGTGTCAGTCACCGGTTCAATTGAACCTCGGCGCTGGCTACAAGCAAAGTGGGCGCCATTACCAAGGTTTGCCATGGGATTTTTTTTACGATCATCAGGGGGGGCGCCCCGTGCCGAGACCGTCGAATTTGCTGCAAATGAAAACCCCTTTCATGTCCTTCTACCGCAAACGGCAAGACGGGAGCTCGAATCGGGAATTTCGGATGCGGCAGAGCAAATCGATACGTCAACGAGAATGACCCCCGCCTGTTTAACATCATCATCATTATTATTGTATTGGTCGAGTTTAAGATGATTTCTTTAACCAGATGAGAACTCAAGAAACCAGGTTTGTCTCATTTGTCAAAGTGAGCTGGGTCACCAAAAAGTAAGTTAAACTAATAAAGTACAGCAATGAGGCAAACAGATAAGAGCAAAAAGAAAACCTCACATGGGATATTTAAAATATTTGCACAACCATAAATCACTGTTAAATAATACATTCCCTGTAGCGCAAGTAAACTTGGGCAGATCATTTTTTTTATACTGATCATAGTAACATTACATTTAAGTTAAAGAAATATTCATTAAAAGTATGGTGACCATTGTACAAATATGTAAATTCGTAAGGATATATGTGAACCCATTATAGCTGGGGTTGCCGTGCTATGGTATATCGCAGAGAATAGGTCCACGAGAATTGTACTATCATTTTAGCAAAAGATAATAAATTGTGATTATCTTTACTCCAAAAGTGTTTTATAGCCCAAAAAATATTTATTAAAAAACAGAAAATGCCATAATTATGATTAAAAAAACTATTACCCATTAAATTTGTACTTTGAAGGACTAATAGACGGTATAATGGTTATATCACATTCGAATTTTTCTCGTCATTAGATTTTTTTAAATTATTCCTTGCATCACCACCAGCACTCAATTTCTAAGTGGCGCAGATTGTAAAGTCGCAGCAACACAAAGAACCTACGGCAGCTCACGTCGAGTGAACCCGTAACCGGAAGCATGTTCGTGTAACCTGCACTCCGACCTGTCAAGGTACAGCTAAGTGCCGACACGGGACCCCCCCCCCCCCCCCAAAAAAAAAAAAAAACCGGGGATCTAAAAAAACATACCGTCAAAGTTACAAGACACCGCTATCGCAAACGGTCACGTATAAAACAAAAAATCGCCCCCGGTTCGCGAGCGACGCGTTCACGTACGCCGGGGCTCTCCCTCTCCGTCGCACTCCCTGGCCTCGCGCTGGTGAGGGCCGAGGTCCTGCTGCGGCACCCTCTCGGCTGCGGCTCGAGCGATCGCCAGCGCCAACGCAAACGGCGCTTTGCTGCAAGCGACACGGACACACGGTGCTGCGTTAGCGACGCCGTCGCGTTGGATGTGGCGCACCGAGCGGCTTTTCCCAGCTAATTCATTACAGACAATACGGGTCCCGACTGAAAAGAAAAATCATATCGATTCTCGTACATTCCGATACAATGCATCCATGGTGGCGAGCATTTGGAAGCTATTTCAACTTCTGTTTTCAATGCGTCGTCGCACACACCGGCCTGCACGCGTAACAATCACGGTCTCGCACACCAGATGGCGCTGTGCTGAGATTGTGCATGTGCTGGACTTCATGTGAACCTTACGGCGGGACCCAGTGGTCCCCATAAGGTCCCCGGGCACTCGCACGAACCGCGTTGCGAAGTCATTTTACGTCTGCTGAAGGCTAAACATACGGCAATCTATTCCCCTCGACGAGCTCTACACGATGCGCTAATCAAAGATTCAAAGTTTTGTTTCTTCTGCGCATTCGTCCAAGCGGCGCGTGATGCGCGCCAGGTGGGTCACGGCGTTTATGTGCGCGGTGGGACAAGTCGCCAAAAATAAATTACGATTTTGACTTCCGTTTATTCGGGACCCCGGGGTCCCACCATGACGTTCATATGCATAAAATACACGTGTACTGTATATAAATTGTAACAATATTAGAAGTGTACAATATACTGAAGTAGAGCATCAAAACATTAAATTGCCCAAAGATATTTCTCCGGTGAAAACTCAACCACTGCCATCATTTTATGCTACTGTGCATTTTGCTTGACTTGAATTTGTACTACTTTTTTTTATCTAACTGCATTCTTACTCGGTGTGTTAACGATACAGATTCATGAATTTCAGTTCTTATAAGGACGATAAACACACTGAATCACGCAAGAATAAATTATTTTCAATGTGTGTACGTTGTGTGTAAACACTGGGTTCACGTGCCACTACTGGACGCTACATTTGCCACTTAACACAATCCAATTTATTCTCCAAATCAACTCTCAACTCCGAATCGGTTTATCGAATCGATAAATCGCACATGCACTGCAAACTAGCTGAGAAACAATGAATACCGTTTTCAAACAAACTCGATTATTGCTTCCAAGGAATCTAGAGTTCCAAGGAATCTACAGTCCCAAGTGAAATTTTGGCAAGAACTGTAAAAAAAACCCACAAGCCTCCTGAACATATGAAACAAAAACTGAAAGCGAATCGTTTGGCGTATTTTTTATGCTAAACATAGGCCTCGCTTAATTTACAGGTCTCAAAGGTCGGCTTGGCAAGGATGCGATTCTGTTAGAGAGAGAGAGAGTAAAAGGTTACAGTGCAACAGTAATAAAAAGCATGCTGGCAGCGCCGTGGCAGGATGCACGTTTTTCCGTGCAGCTGGAAAAGGCTTCTAACGGTACCACCCAAGCCTCCCGGTTGAGCGAGGGCACTGCGCTCGATTCCCAAGTGGGTTGTGGGACTTTAATCTGGACTATGCGAATTTATGGGTCTCGATGCACGCCCATGTACATCTCTCCATGCGAGGCAAAACGTGTATCTAAAACCGTGGACCACAGTGACGGCACTGCCCTGATTGTTTCACAACTCCTGAACCGGTCCACTGGCCCACTAACTCACCAAGTTCGACATTAAAATATACACATTGCTCATCAACTCGACATTAAAATATACACATTGCTTATCAACTCCCCACCGTACGAAGGACCCTTCTGATCCCCCCCCGTTCACCCCCCACCTCCGTTCACCCCCCCCCCCTCCGTTCACCCCCCCTCACCACCCCCCCCTTCACCCGTACAATCCCATCCTCACAGAATCGCTGCTTCCAGGAGGAAGAATACACGCGCGCGGCTATACGAGGTCACAGCTGTCAGCCATCACTCACGGGCCCTCTCCAGCACGGTGAAGAAAGGGGTGTGGTGGTGGTGGTGGTATGGTGGGGAAGGGGGGAGTTGCGGGGAGAGGGCAACACAAGAGCCTTCATTATAACAAAAAAAATCCTGACAGTAAATCTGACTTTTCCCTATTCCAGATATGGCACAAAAGCAGCTCTGTGACTGTGCCCAAGAAAGGCAGCTTCATGCCGGGGCCCTTTCAACAGAAAATTGCTTCTCAGTGCACGGGTGGCATTTCACGAAAATAATATTAACGAAAATGATCGCTCTTGAGATCTATATATATAAAATAAGATAGTGCATGCTCCGATTGCAGATTTTGCCAGAGCCGTAAATTAGGCCCAGTGTACATTTGCAGTGCTTTTCATTCACTCTCCGTGCTGGAGGAAGTATGACCATACTTCACCACGCTCGTCGGCGCACGTTAGCGAAGGAGGGGAGCATAGAATTACAGTATAACAACGGATTTCTGCACTGCCCTCTGCTGCCCACACAACGTAGCCCTGCACCGTATTCTATATGAGCCTATAGGGCGTCCAAGGACGGGTGTATTGAAGTAAATCTGAAACTTGCAAGCGAAAAGCAGACCGTGACGTGATATTCATTGCATCAATGCGTGTGCAATTTGTAAGGGCGCGGTGACACAGACCTATTTTATTTTAAGGTTATAATCCCTTGTTCATCATGACGCCCTTTTTACTTTGATGTCTCAACAGCGTCACGGAGATCACGTGACGTGAGGGTTCTGCCTTTTGTAGTGAGGGTTGTGAGTTGACGCTGAGGAGGGGGGAGGAGGCGCCCCCCCCCCCCACCCCCATGTGGAGTGACGTCACCCGCTCATGATTATTAATGAGGGAAGGGGTGCGGCATGTGGAGTGACGTCACGCACGTTACACACAGACATTCTTGGCTCATATTAGTAATAATCTAGTCAATCCAAGCACTATCCAGGCTCAAGCCTGCTTGGCTTCTGAGATCTGACGAGATCGAGAGCAGTCGATGTGCTGTGGTCAAAGGCTGTAGTTATGCGCAATGTAGTAATACAAATGTAATTATAAATATTGAGTAACTTTCGTTCTTAAGCTCATGACTTTGGATGTAAAGATTCACCCCACCTTGAAAATAATGCAATGTCACAGTCCCATTGAGGAGACCATTTAAGAAATCGGTCTTTTTTTTTAAACCAATACAGCGGCAGCTACAATCACCACAATATTCAACGAAATATATCTCGTCCTGAATCAAATCGTGGAAATGTATTGAACCATGAGGTCAAGGCAAATCATGGAACTTCTGGTAACATTTAGCACCATAATTTGGTAACAAACCATAACGTCTGCTGCCGATATCGTCTTCGCCCTGCTGTGGCTATCGAGTGTACAGGCAGTGCAAATGCACCGGGGTCCTAGGCAGTAGGGACCCAGGCATCGGGCTACAAAAGCAGTGGTGGTGGCGGTGGGGGGGGGGAATGGGACACAATTCCATGCACCAGGGCCAGTGCCAATCGCGCTATACCCCTGCATCTTTGATCCTCACTTTGCCAGCTTTTACAACACACAAAGCTCACAATGTGCCGTCAGTGAGCCAGCAGCCACACCTATGGCAGACGCAATCGCCTGTCTGGAGCCGAGCTAAGGTGCAATACGATAAGGGAATGTTCCCACTATTTAAACCAGGGTACTTCAAAAGACGAATGATCTCAGTCAACCGCAATAAACCCATGCAACTGACAAGCGGTTTCATTATGATGTAAAGATTATAAGAATTAGAATGGCATTAAAAAAATGGGGTTGTTGTGGTGACCCAGGCTGAGACCATCGACTTGCTACCATTGGGCTGCTGCTGTGTGGATTCGAAAAGCCAAGCTCTCGGTATTGCTGGCCGAGAGCCTGGCTTTCGTGAATGATGAATACTTTTTTTTAAGCAAGCTCCATTGCAATGACACAGAATTGGCTTAATAAAAAAATTAACCGCCACCGTCGAACATCTCAATGGGCACAAAGCAGAATTGTCCTGCAAGACACCAAGTTGGTTCGGTTTTCACCTGCGAGTGTATACATATTTAATGCAGACAGATGTTGGAATGCTCTTGCGTTAAAAGCACACACGAATGGGGTTTCCAACGTGTGTTGCGAGACAGAAACTATTCACGTGCACCTTCATAACCAAACATTACGTTTGTTTAGCGTCAACATGAACGGGCGGACCGGGTCACTATTTCTACGTTTACCCAACAATGCGCTCCTAAAATGGTTCTCCGAATAATAAAAAAAAATTCATGCGGAACACGCTTTCGCAACAACGCTGCAATTTAATCATCACCAGAAGTGGAGAGGGAGGGGGGGGGTGGGGGAACTCGCTGTTAAATACGATTGGCCCAAAAAAATACGACATTCAATGCGAACTTAGCCGGCAGCTTCCAGCTCAGTTAAGCAACAGACAATTTAATTATTTGCTGGGGACACGGCGACCAATGAAACAACTAAATACGGTAAACGCCGCGTGTCGCGCGCCAAAGCATTCGGACAAAACCAGAAACTGCTGCGTTGCATGGGCTCGCCTCTTTTTTTTTTGCCGAGCTCAACACGCTTGCAAACACATAAGGGAAGGGAATCAAGCAAGGTCACACGCTCGCCGCACACACACACACAAAACGCAAGCGAGGAACATGGCGCGTGTAGACCTGCCGCTTGTGCACGCACACGCGCGGCAGCGCGGCTTTTCTGCACGCTACGATCGCATTTCCTCTTTCGCTTGGCCACAGCCGTGTACAGTGCTCGACGGGCCGAGGGTTTCCTCTGGAAAAGGAAACTGGAGGGGAGGGAGTACGGCAGATTGTGACCCAGGGCTCAATCTCTCCCCCGCCGCCACCACCACCCTCCAACACCCTCCCCGCTCCCCCTCTTCCCTGCCTCGGCCAAATTGCGTTGATAAATGCTTGCACGCTACCCGGTCTATCGTCGGAGAGAGGTTTTGGACGAAGCGATTTATTAACTTGTAGATGGAGCACAATGTTTTTTTTTAAATAAATGTCCGAAATATGTCAGTGGGGTTCCGAGCTCATCGTAATCTCTCACGTGGGTTATCTTTCACCGTAAAAACCAGAAAGTGC